CCTGTGGAAGAAGAGAGCACGGGACACAAGCGGGCGAGCGGCAGCGCCAGACCCCCTCCACTCCACGCGCAGACCCCGGTCCCGGCAGCCCCGCCTTTCCCAAGGAGATGGGGGAGCCAGCAGCACTAGCCGAGCCCCAAGGGCTGGGATTTGCTCACCCAGCGCCGCTGCCGTTTCTATGGGAACTCCTGTAAAGCTTTTACCTGTTTGAAGGCATTGACGCTCACTTGTCACCGCTGTCACCCTCCCTGCACCCCTCTGTGTCCATGCGATCACGTGTCCTCGGGGATGAGACGCATCGGGGTGCCCACCTGCATGAGGAAGTCGGCCGCGTGCCCCCCGACCTGACGCTCACGGCCAGCCCTGGGAAGGAGCTTCCTGCTGGCCATCAGGGTGCTCTGGCCTCGCCTGTAGGCTCTCCCCCGAGGCGAGGCCCGGAGGGGCCGTGTTCCCGCTGAGTGGCGTGAGCGTGGGTGGGGGCCCCTAGAAACTCGTCCACTGAGCTGGCGGGTTCACGAGGTTTTGCTCAGATTCCTGCACACACACAGTCCAGGTACTCCTTTCCCTGAAACCCCAAAAGCGAGTGCCACGCCCCCGGAGAGCTGGTGCGGGCGGGAATCCCGGGCCTGTGGCTCCCCTCGGCTACTCCCACAGGCCCCCCTCCGAGACACACTCCCCCGCCGCGTTACTGATGCGGGTGTCTGTGTCTGTCCTCACAGAACTTCCTGAAGGACTTGCTGGAGAAAGCAAACAAGGCGGTGGATGATGCCAAGCTGGCCGAGTACACAGACCTAATGGTGAGGCGCCCCCAGGGGCTGAGCCAGGCCCGCTCCCGAGGCTGCGGGTGCGAGCAGTGACGGGCGGCCGCGCTCCCGTGAAAAGCTGACTCCCCTGGCCGCGGCCTCGCGGCTGTGCCACAGGCTCCAGACAGGCAAATCTCTTCTCGTGCAGTTGCCAATTTTGTCTCAAAAGATCACTTGTTTTTCTTAAAAGTCAGTGTATTGCATCGCTAAATTCTGTAACTCAGATATATGTAAGTCACATTATAGATATATACATTATATCATTAAATATCATTCATTATAGAAGTTCTGACTCAATTTTCATCATGACTTAGGAAAGCATAGCTTTTGTTAGAGTTTAGAGATAACTTATAGCCACCTTACTCACTAGAGACTACGGTAAAAATGGGTATTTCTGCCTCTGCCTTTTGATTTTTCTTATTTTGGAGCCTCATCTTGGGTGAGGAAATCCAAACATACCTTTATTCTAATGTGGTGGGGAACAGTATCAGCGAGATCTACGGTCAAATGCTGAAAATGGAGCTAAGAAAACTGCTTCACACACAGGCACTTCGTGTTTAGGAATGAATGCCAAATGCATGTATGAAGCTCAGAGAGAAGCATCGCTCCTGCGGGTTAACTAGTTTCAGGTGGGTGAGTGGGCTCACGCTTATCCCTCAGGACCCCGGCACTTTTCCTAAACTGCTTCAGCTGCGGCAGCACTGTTCTAATTGCTTACTTCTTGGAGTTTAAAGTTTTATTATTCAGTCAGCATGAGTTTGTGAGGTCGCGGTGAACTCTTACCGCGTGGATGTAAATAAATAACGCATACGACAAAAGTGCATGTTATAAACTGTGTTATGTTAGACGGGTTCAGAAGTTAGCCTCTTCAGGTACCCTGAGAACCTTGTAAAGGGTCTGATTCTGTTTGACGTCACTGAGGTCGGCTCTCTGCCTGCCAGCCTACTTTTATGAGGGGAAATACCTCCAGAGCGTAGCTGTCGCCGTAGTCACTGCACAGTGTATTTATTATAAAGTGGGACTAATATCTAGTTTCAAAACAAACCATTCTCATGGTGTCCTCCTTGCACCGCACCTATCGAAGCTCAGCACATAACTGTGTCACGGAGGGCCACCCGGCACCCACCTCTGGGAAAGGGCAATAGCCTACATTCACCAGCTGTCCTTTGTGCTGATCTTAAGGGATATCTATTTAGGGTAAAGACTCCTCTCCAGGTAGAGCTGTGAGCGGCCTTTTAAAGCCACTCAAATGGGAGTTTGCATATCTGATTAAATGTCATAAACCAGTTCTAATCGGAGAAGCAAATTAATCAAGAACTAATTAACATTTAAATATATTTGTGGGAAATATTTCCCTGTGGGCACTAATCCATGTGATCTGGTGTCCAGGGCTTGGTGCTGATTTTAGTGCGACAATATCAGATCTTATGGCCAATGAATTATAAAGTGTGTCAGCATCAGACCCCGGACACATCTGCCTCCCCCCAGACACACCTTCCTTCTGTCCCCAAAGAGGCCCCATTCTATCACATTCCTTTATGAACAAAAATAATGCACTTCTCCACATATGTAGTGTACGTGTTTGACCTATTTCATACACAGCTCTTCTGTCTGCTATTGCACAGCAGCGTTCCTACCTGTCCGTGCGGTGCACAGGGTTTCCAGGTGTGTCTGCGGTGTGGGGTGTGTGCGTGCTGTGGCAGGCTGGGCTTTACAGCGTACCCAGCATGCAAAGGAATGAAAACAGTTCCAATTACTCAAAACTTCTGTTCTCCAAGGGTTATTCATAGTGTCTGCCTGTTGCCGCTGGGTGTCCCCCATTATGCTCCTAAGAGAAAAGCAAGCACTTCTTTTCACACCACTGCGTGGAGAGTCAGGGTGTGCTCCTCTGCAGACCCCTCTCGCGTCTGAGACACCTGTGCGCCTCTGTGCGAGGGAATCATGGCAGGCTTCCGGGAGTGCAGGGAGCCCACTGCTGCTTGACTGCTCCCAATTGTTCTGAGGAGACACTTTGGCAATTGTACAAGTTACAGGACTGAAAACCCTACACCAATAGTTTAATAAATGCTACTTTCTACAACTTTGCTGTCTGTATAAGTAATTCCTAACTAAACTACTTTAAGTTGAATTTCCTTGTCCTTCACGCAATAAACCATTATTCAATGGCTACAATAATGATGACTTTTTGTCTTTCAGCTGAAATTATTTGATTCAAATAATGATGGGAAGCTGGAGTTAACCGAGATGGCCCGGTGAGTTAGGGGCTACGCAAATACTAACAGAAGCTGATCCTTACCAAAAATGCTAATCCATTAACGTCATGTTTTTCTCTCAAAAGGCTACTACCAGTGCAGGAGAATTTTCTTCTTAAATTTCAGGTATTTCTCTTTTTCTCTACCATAGATGGTATTTTCCTTGAACAGTTACAATGTGGGAGAGCCGCTGAGGGAAACTCCATAAAGCTTACCAGCAGCATTTTAACCTTTGCTCCTTCTCTACCCTCCAGGGCGTCAAAATGTGTAGGAAAGAGTTCTAAAGCTTTCGAGTTATATGACCAGGTAAAAGTTTGTTCTTATATATAGTTCTTCAAAATCTGGAAAATGCTGAGGGGAAAACCCTCAGGCTCCAGGCTCCTATGAAAAGCAACATGAACTATTAGAGTCACCCAGCTGTCTCCTCACCCAGGAAATGTAGCGTGGTGTGTCCCAAATTAGGCAAATCTTGACACAAATCCCACACTCTAACTGAACTGCTATGAGGCTTTGAATAAGATACCAAAGTCCTCTGAGCCTCAGTTTCCTCACGTGTAAACAAAAACAGTCCCACCTGTTCTGCAGGTGGGGGATGGGGGGCGGGACTGGGACTGATCTGGATGAAAATTCCAGCAGTTTCCTCCACCCAGTGAAAGGCTCTGCCGTGTGTGTGTGTGTGTGTGTGTGTGTGTGTGAAAGGCTGTTTGCAAGGTCACTGGTTAACCTCCTTTATTTGCTCTAAAGTCTCTACCCCTGGACCAAACCAGTGTGACACCAGGCGGGTCACATGGCCTCCTCAGGCCTCCATGTCCCACGCCTATGGTGACCAGTCACCTCCACAGGAGGTAATGTGACATGAAGTGAAGTGTTAAATGTGAGGCTCTTTGAAATGTTCATGTTACAAATGTAAGGTGTGGAATGAGAGGTGACTCCGGAGCAGTCAGACACTGCGGGTCCGAGGGCCCTGGTGCTCCCGGACGGGGCCTGAGCAGGTCCTCCGTGTGTGTTGCCGCATTGCCGTGTGTCGGAGACCTGCTCTGTCTGCTTCTCCTCCCGCAGGACGGCAACGGCTACATCGATGAGCACGAGCTCGACGCTCTGCTGCGGGACCTGTGCGAGAAGAACAAGCAGGTAACTCCTTCCGGGCTCTGGCTTCCCGGGCGGGTGCATGGGGTCGTCCAGGCAGCCAACCCATGTCTGAACTCAAAACAGTGAGGGAGGGCAGGAGTAGCTTTCAGTTCTTAACCTGACTTGGCAACTGGGATCAATGGATTTTTATTTATTTTGTTGTTTATTAATCCTCACCTGGGGACATTTTTCCATTGATTTTTAGAGAGAGTGGAGGGGAGAGGGACAGGGAGGAGAGAGAGAGAGACATTGATGTGACAGAGACACATCGACTGGTGGCCTCCCACTCGTACCCTGCCGGGGGCTGGGCATCAAACATGCAACCTTGACTAGGAATCAAACCCATGACCCTTCAGTCTGCAGGCCAACATTCTAACCACTGAGCACACCAGCCAGGGCTGGGATCAATAAATGTTACAATCACCTGTGATTACCCAGCTCCTCTCTGGGACCTATATAAGGAGCACCCCTACATACCCTCTCACCTGGCCACGCTGACTCCCTCCCACATTAACCAGGCGCATGCCCTCTGTGCTCTGTGCAGGACCTGGACATTAACAACATCCCCAACTACAAGAAGAGCATCATGGCCTTGTCTGATGGGGGGAAGCTGTACCGGACAGACCTCGCCCTCATTCTCTCTGCTGGGGACAACTAGAGCGTAGCCCGGCCACTCACTAGCGGTACACCTTACCTAAAAACTGCGCGCGCTCTAAGGGAGTATCTGCGTTTCCTGTCATAGCTGTACATCTAACTGCCTACGATAACTGTCCCGTGTGTGCACAATCCTCCCGCGTGTTTCTATCTGCTTGTAATGTACAGTTTTTGTAACCACAGGACTGAAAGGGGATTGTCTATGCTTAAGCCAGTCAACACCCATTAAACATAACCTGACACAGTCCTGCTTTTGTACATGGAGTTGGACAGCATTTCCCTAAAAAACTCACCAGGATTAATCTCTACAACTTTAGTCTCTGATGTGTTAATGCAAGTTTTTCACTGAAGCATTCTTAATTCAGACAATCACAGGTCAATCCCACAAAATCGTTCAAAGCTGTATCTCCAGTTGCTAGGAGGACTGTGCTCTCGCATCTAGAATACCCACATGTCCACCTGTAGTTAGTTAACGGGCCCGGGAGCAGGATGTAGTCCGTGAGCCGCACGTCTCCTGCTTGACCTCACCACGTGCTGGTCAGGAGATTTGGTGACAAGACAGTGCCCGGCGGATGCCACACTGTGTCCGATCCATGTGCGTCTCCCACACGCTCGTGTCGGAGGACGGCCTCAGCCCACTTTCTAAACGGTTTGCACGTGTTGGGGATGACAGTTATTCTAGAAAGTGCTGTTTACTGTCGTGTCCTGTCCCCTCGGATTAAATCCCACATGCCGAGCAGCCTCGTGTCTAGTTTGCGTCCTTCCTGGACCTTCTTCCCATGCAGAACTTCTCACTCGGGTGGAGTGTCTGCTGCCTCCCAACGGCCCCGGTTCTCACTCTCCTTTCCCGACACCATGAGTCCCAGCTCAGCCCTGGCCGGCGGCAGAGGCATAGGGCGCGTGTATCCCGTGACTCCGTCTTCCATGCTGAGATGAGCATTCAAAATAATTGTCTTTCTGTCTGCAAATAGTTTCAAGTGAGTTGAAATAACCCATGAAGAGAAATGCTGTGGGATCCGTCTGGTCATAGGGAGAGGCGAGCACGGCCTGGCCGCACAGGCCGCTCCTGCCGCGGGCGCCGCTGCACCCCGGACCTCAGGGTCCGTCCTGAACTCAGCGCCGACTTCCTCAGTGAACAGAAATCACAGCAGAGTGAGAGTCTCTTCCCCGCAAGAGTGGAGTGAGGACCTGCGCCCAGGAATGGAATTTCTGGGCCAGGCGGGCGGGCTGCACGCTGAGGGTGGTGCTGAGGGTGATGCTGAGGGTGGACAGAGGAGAGGGAGTGAGGCCCCTGCATCTGTGTGGAAACCTCGTCCTGGGTCAGCAGGTGGGGACGCAGGCGCTCAGACAGCAAATGTCACCTGCGACCTGGAGCTGCCCAACTCACAGAAGGAATACACACTTAGGAGTACACACTTAAGGGGTACACACTTAGGGGTACACACTTAGAGGTACACACTTAGCGGTACACACTTCGGGGTACACACTTAAGAGGTACACACTTAGCAGTACACACTTAGGGGTACACACTTAGCGGTACACACTTAGGGGTACACACTTAGGGATATACACTTAGGGGTACACACTTAGCAGTACACACTTAGCGGTACACAGTTAGGAATACACACTTAGGAATACGCACCTTAGGAATACACACTTTAGGAATAACAATTTGGAAATGTACAGCAAGAGTCCTTAAAAGCTTTATAACCTTTGATTAATAATATTACTTCAGGAATCCATCGTGAGGAAACAATTCCAAATTTTAAAAATGTTTTATACCCAAGGAGTTCTTCACTGGTGTATATATTACACCAGAAAATAAAATAACCTAATTCCAAAAATAAAGTATGATAAATACAAGCAATGAAAGCCCTGGCTGGGTGCTTAGTGTATTGGAGCGTCATCCCACACACCAAAAGCTGTGGGTTCAACTCCGGGTCAGGCACATACCTAGGTCGCATGCAGGTTTGATTCCTGTTGGGCAGGTACAGGAAGCAACCGATGTTTCTCTCACATGGATGTTTCTCTAAAATCCAATAAAAAATGCAACCTCGAGTGAGGCTTAAAATACATATATATTTAAAACAGTGAAATATGAAAAAACAGTATTTATGAAAAAAACAGGATCTGTTTTATCATGCAATCTCAATTTTTTTTAAAAGGGAACGATTATGAAAACATTGGGGTGAAGCAGTATTTATAAAGTTATAAAACTGTGAACACAGTATTAATTTAACAAAAATATGGATATAGTTGCACTGGTAGAAGTAGTGGGAGGGAGGACTTCAGAGTCCAGAAGGAGGCACAGCTCCGAGCTGAGATGGTTCCCGCCAGCAGACCTGCAGAGCGGGCACCCAGGAGGCCTTGCCTGTCAGTTAGACAAACGATAACTTTCATATCAATAAGAATTCAATGAAAAGGCCAAGGCTG